TATTGTCAAACTGCTGTATCCGGAAAGACAAGTGCAACGTAATGATAAGTCTGATGAGAACACAATGCGTCGGCACAGCTGACAGATGGCACGACAGGCTACTTCCCAAATGATGGTGCTGAAGTGCCCAGCGCCAGATGTCGTGCGTGTGACCGTCGACTGCGGACTTTTGCTCAATTGCGAACGCGCGATTTTGCTTTTATTTTGCGTATTAAACCGCACTCGTCGTGCTCGCCTTCATATGCGAGCCAAGGTCACCTCAGATCTGACCTCGGCAAATATCGCGGTCGGAAACGTATGATTTCGACGAATCGTAGCAAGTTTTCGTTACTGGATCGAACACTCACCGCGGGACGAAATCATTTTTGGTACGTAGAGATCGCGTTCATCGCACCAAGAGGAAAGTTTAGTCGAACTAACTTGACAGCTCTGACAAGAAATTTATTTCGTGGTTCTAATCAGGATGATCTCAATCAGTTATCTGCTTTCTATAAGGTGATGTTATCGATAAATCGTGCAACGCAGCGTGGCATTCAGGGCCTTATTAATAATAAGGAGAGGGCAGCGAATATGGATACGTTCTAAACGTCGAAATTAAACATTTTAACACTGTGTGAAAACCTGTTAACCATCAGCGGACCATAACATGCCACTGATTATAATAACACGGAGAAAACACTGAGGTATCACTTGTCTAGATGTGGTTGCCACGACAAAATATTAATGTTATTTTTCGCCCATGCAAGATAGTTGTAGCACTCTAGAAGTGGTACATTAACCTTCTTTACTTCCTACCCATATATGTTTGAACATTACTCTCGGTGCTGTATGGTGCAACCAAATTCTACGGATCTCTCAACCATAATATTCATTCTGTAGACCACAACAGAGAGACAGCAATATTCCTTTGGTTGAGGCAACTATATGAGGGCGTACTAACTGAACATTATATATCATAAGAACTATGACTGTGAGAATTGTACAGATGGACATGTAAAGTAACAACTTTTAATGCCATATCTGTTTCACTTGAAATTATATAATCTTTTCTCTAATCACAGAATGGATATAGCAACCACAATAATTTTCTCCATGAAGAATTATTAATACTAGCCTTATTAATAATTAAGATCCGATAACATCATCTTATACAACTGATTGAAATCGATCTGATCAGGATCTGATGGGATAAATTTCTCGTTGAGAATGAACGCATCGTTTTGATTGAAGGAAACAGAATTTCTGGCCATTTTTGGAACTAAATTTGGCATAATTTCGTCAGATCAATTCAAACAGACTGTTTTCTTCGCACGTATTGATAAGCCTTCATCTCGTGTTTTCGATGAGTTCACGATCGAGAAGATCGCGAGCGATGTGACGGGAGAAGAGAGTTGCTCGGCGATATGCGAACAGCATCTGTAAATCATTTCCTTAATCGAGCGAACGCCACGAAGACGACGATTAAAGGCGTATCGGATCGCCGCGCATTTCCTCGGCGACTCCGTGGCGAGGAGCGATCTAGTTTACTGCTAGATCCGCCGATCAATCGGCGGCTCGGTCGATCGAGCGTCGCGTACTCGCCTGTTTCTCTCCTGGAGCCGCTTACCATGGCCGCGGCACCAGTGGCTATCAAGGCCACTCACTCGATTACTCGATAACTCGCGTTTCTTGCGAACCGAACGTAAAACCGCGCGCGCGGAACCGCCCGTGGGTTCTCGCGATCGATACCGCGCGCGGTGGCTGGCGATATGAGCTACGATCGTGGATCACCAACGAAGTGCGATTTCTTTCTTCGCCTTTGTCGCAGCAGACGACAGTCGTCGTTCTTTTTGGTCCACTAATCGAGATGTCACTCGATGATACCGTTGATCGTTCACGTGGGTCTTCTTTCACGTGTCACGTCTCCTCGATTCGCATACGAAACGGTTTCTTATCCTGATAATAATGCCGAGACCGTTCTGCTCGTTACTTGCGGAACCGTTTCCAGAGCGACGTGTCCTCTTCACGAGCGTCGCTTGCGTGAAACTCTCTGTCATTATATTAAAATTCTAAGAGCAGCAATTTTGATTAATTAATAATACAGGCCCGAGGGAATGTACGCGCGTATCCTTCCTATACTTGTATGCATAGACTGCGCCTTCTTACGAAAGGTTTGAATACAAGATTCAAAGGACAGCTATATTCTCTGTCCACAAGCAATCGATCTTTGTCTAACTTGAATCGCTTAACTATAGCTAGCTACAATAGGAGTCTAGCTAAACCAAGATCGAATGTCTAGTGCTAGCAGGACATCCTCTTCTGGTCTTCGTTTGTGTGTGTGGAGTGTACTCAATCTACACCCCAAAATAATATAATTTCATCCTCAGCGGAATCCTCTTGTGCAGCCTCAAGAGGGATTCTTCGAGAACCAAAAACGCCAAGTATTCGCACGATCGCTGCGAAATTTTCAAACTTGTTGCGCGGCTCGAGCCTCTACTACCGGCTGTCATATTCGGCAGCAGGTGTTGTTCGCACCTTCATCGACACATTCGGCTGCGATGACGCGGCCGATCTCCTCGAGGACGACGAGCAGGTTGCTCTTCGGCTCAGCGGCGACATTTAAATGTTTCGCCGGCATTGATATCACCCGCGCCGTGCCGCGCCGCGAACTTGAAACCGCTACGACGACGACGACGCGCGGCTCGTCGCGCTGACCTTTCGTACGTGCGCGCATTCTCGCGCGGCCGACATATTCTTTTAATCCCCCGGCAAAAACCTTTCGTTTCTCCGCGCGTCGATAGTGATCTCCGCCTTTCGTTCCCTCGCCGAACCAGCCAGCTGGAGTCTGCCATCGCGGCCAGCGGTGAATCGTCAAGTCCGCCCGACCAAATGACGAGAAAAGGAGTACACGCACGATATCGTCTCTTTCCCTCTCGCGCCGTGCACGCTACACTAATTTGGCGCATAATCGTCTGGCCTCTCTCAAAAGAGTTGCCGGGATTAATGAGCCGCGCCGTTGCGCGTTGAAGCACTCCAAATAAGCGACGACGACGACGACGATGACGCGCTGAAAAAAATCGCGATGTGGCGCAGGTGTGCGCTCGCGCGGTTCCTGTGCACGCACCTACGTATTACGTATAGATTCCGGCTCGTGTAACTGCGCAGCACGTATGGATTGTAATAAATACGTTACATTAACGCTAGGAACGCGCTCGCAGTTTTTTTGTCGTCGCGATGATAATAACGTCGGCAATAACAACAGTCTTCTTCCACATCGCCGTTGATTTCTAGGTGATGAACGGGATATATTAAAAAGAGGACTTCTTTCTCGGTCGCATACACCAGACGACGGGCCGGAAAAAAAGTTTTCGACGTTGTGTAACGGGCACGTTTAAAAAACGTATTTTCTAGGTCTCCGTCTTTTTCGCTCTCTTTTCTTGTCGTCGACGTTGGTAGACGTTAAAAAGTTGAAATTAATTTGTTTCCGCGCACGCAAACGAGGCCCGATAGTCGGAGTGGATTTTTATGCGAAGCGGGCTGCAAAAGTTCGCATACATCTCAATTAAAAAGTAGTTTCGACAGTTATAATGAGTGAAAGTTCGCGTCGCGATGTCTCTTCGAATGCGGCTGAGCGCAGAAGATATATTCGACATCTGCGAATGAGGTTTGGAAATCCGCAATGTCACCGACCGAGAAAGAACGACGATTTTTACTTTTGTCGAAGAAAGTCCTGCGCAAAACGCGATGGAGTATATCGGCTCGCCTTTCCAATGGTGATTTTGCATCCCTCTTTTCAGAACGCATTTAAGAAATCTCACAAATAAATATTTGTATTATTGACTACAATACAATTTGCTTGTGAAATTTCTTAAATGCGTCCTGAAGAAGGGGATGCAAAGTAAATTAGAAAAGAAAGCCAGCATTTTCTGTTATTTTAAGCGCGAGGAGACCGCCCAACTGATCCTACATAAATCCAGCGATGCTCCAGCGATTCCGTGACGGGTTCCATGGAGAAAAAATCGCAAGTGGATCAGCGCGGATTCCCGATCGGCTTTCCTCACTCACGACAGCCAGCACTTTTACGCGAGCGAGCGCAGAATGGAAATTATACGCGTGTACATACAGGAGGTGGGCGGCGATATGGAGCGAGTTCGCGCGTAAATAATCGAATGAATAAACATCGAAGTGGCGCGCACCGATGTCCGTGTTGTGCAAACGCGGATTCCGAGCACGAGCTAACGCACGCCTGCAGCTTGGCCCTGAAAGAGACGCCGTTCACAATGAGCAAAATCTCAGAGTTCTCAAAGTCTCGCTTCCGGCACGATAAGAGCGCTTCGAACAACAGTCGACTGTATTTTTAGCTGGCGAACGCTCCGCGCGTTTCCTCGTTCGCTCGTCCAGCCGCTCGCCAGTTTTCGTTTTCCGTTACAAAACATAGACAGGCGCTCGTGCGCGCGGCAGGAGAAGTGGCTTTAGTTTCCCGGGAGCGCTCGCGTAACAATCGCGGCTCATGAAATTCTGACGTATCATCCGGAAAACGCTTGTATCGCTCGCGTATGTGAGAATACGCGCAATCCTCGCAGTCTGTTTGATCTTGCGAAAACTGGGTAATTAGCGCCGGGCTTTTCAACGATTCGCGCGGGAAAGAAACTCGAAAGCGAGAATGGCTGGAGAATGATGAAACCCATTAGCGATGGAAACTGAAACGTCAACATTGACGTCAGGTCTGAGTAGAAGAAACGTTCAAGTATAATTGACCTTAAGCATTTTTGTTGTCTCCGGCGAGAATCTCTCCCGCCGTATGTGCGTTCGGGAGAAGCGTGAGATTTTTAACTGTTCTCTGGCGAAAATCGACGTCGGAATGCGCCGGGAGAGAAGGGAGAGAGGGAAAACGGCGATTCGCGTGGGCGTTCGGGCGAAAAAGGTGGTGCGCGCGTGAATAACTATGAGGAAATAAACAGAACGGGAATGTTAGCCGCGGCGGCCGCCAAGGCCTCTGCCGGCTTTCTAACGACACAATCGCTTTTATGTAACGGCCATTATTCGTCCCTTTTTATTACAACAAAGGTAAATACAAAGACGCGCGAAGACTTTCGCCGCGAAACTACGCCACGGCGCGCGTTTCGCCGCATTTGACAATTATTCATGGGGGTAGTGAAAAATCGGAGCATATCAAGGGATAATTACACATTACGCGGGGGATGACCTTTTCGGAATTATCCGACGAGGGACTAGAAGACCTCTTTGGCGACCGACCCTTCGTACGGGGGTGGCATCGACAACTGACACCGTTCCGCGCGAATCCACCTGTCAGATACACGACGACGGTTCCGTTCGAATCACCCTGTAGACGGCCGTCGACTGCAGTCGAGTTCTCGCGATCGGGTCCTGATCGGCGGCGCGAGTTCTTTCAGACGTGTGAGAAACAATAACATTAACAATTTGCGCCATGAGAAATTGACCGAGTAGCAATAATGAACATTGAAGTTGATATTCAATGATGTCTTGATATTCAATCTTGTCTGTCATTCAAGTGAGAAGCGATTTGACAATATGGAAACTCTTCATTCAGAATGCCTCCCACGAGAGCGGCCTGAATGCAAGTGACGTAATTAACGTTATCGCGTTGGTCCCCGATCGCATTGCCTCGAAATAATTACATATCTCCACACATTTTTCTACAACATAATCGTATCTCGTTCACAAAACTATACATATGACGCAAGAAAAACGCAGATCATACACTTTACAACAAACGAAATATAAAAATAAGCGGCGATCCTCCTCGAGCGTGAGAGAAAAAACGTATTTCTCTCCTGTTTCGACGAGGATTCAATTAACTGTACAAAATTAATTTTCCGAGTCCCGGCTGCGCGTCAACGTTACGCGCGAGCTGTATGCGGGCAAGCCTGACAATGGCAATAACGCAATTTGCAAAACGCATCATGATAATTCAACAAGCAAGGGTCGCGATATTCACTTACACGATATCGAAAATTCGACACGAATAACACTCTTTCTCTAAAAGTCCCTCCTGCACGATGAGACGTTGAACAATTTTTTTCGCTATATTTTCCTCCGTATCGATATGTGTCTCGTAAACATACATGTGTGTCGTAAAAGAAAGCAAATTCGACGTACATTTATCTCGCCTTAATGCGAACGTGCATACGTAGAATCAGGATGCATCACAATTTCGACACGCTGTTTGTTATTAATTACGGAGAAGAGCGAGAGACAGCGAGGGAGAATATATGAGCGGATATTGTCGTTCCGATTCGAAATAACCGGAAGCAGACTCGCTAGTCCACGTGCTGGCCTTCGAGACGGAAATTCGAGAGGTTCAGCACGAAGGATGATAGACAACCCAACGGCAAGAGAGAGTATTAGGGTCAACGTTCAACAAGAATACTGTACATCATATACACGAATACTTATAAACCATATCAGTCGCGAATTAGACAATTATTTACAGCCGTGATGAGAGAGGCACGTAATAAAGATTAAACTATCGTCTCGCCTAAGAAAGAGGAAAGGAAAAGACCGGTAGAATCAATGATTTCAGGTGGCAAAACCTACCGGCGACGCTCGTTTTATCAATAATTTGCTAACGTATCTTTTATTCACCAATCAACCATCAGCCACGTGTCGAAATCTTCGAAGGAATTTTTCAGTCGTTTGCGATAGAAGAGATTTTTTGGAACTTTATTTTTCCTTCTAGAAAAGGTATACGAGAGGAAACTACCATCTGAACCACAAAACGGAATATTGATCGATTATGTGCAAATTTCACTTATTAAAATTATCGGGAACACGCCGCGCGTACGCATACACGACATTTATCGTTCATTACCACGTCTCTTTGGACAACTAATGATCGAGCTATCGTCCGATTAAAATCCAGACGAGCGAATTCAGGCTAATCAAAAACTGAGCGCGACGACCGGCTCACGTACAGTTTGTATACATACAGGTGTTCAGCATTACAGCAATCGCTCGGTGAACGTAAATTACCGGTTTCTCCGATTCCCCCTCTCTCTCCGGCCCGCTCTTTCACTCTGGGTTTCCCTCCCCTCTCCCTTTCTGTCTCTCTTTCTTTTTCTCTCTCTCTCTCTCTCTCGCTCGCTCGCTTCCTCTCTTTTCCTCGTTCCCTTCATGTCACGATCGGCCACGCTCGATCTCGCCGATACGCACAATCGTGCGATAGGCGTTACGCCGTTACTTTGCATTTTGAAATACGAGCAGACGCGATTGTCTACGACCCGAAACGACATTCGCGTAACGAATAGAGGTGAAACTTGGATCGAATGTGGGAAATTTCTATGGCGATCAGATTCGCCGGTTCCCTCCGTTCTCACTTTCGCAAGGCGCGAACGCGAACGAGCATCGATACCTGTTTTTTCTTTACGCTTTGATGGCCGATCGGGACAACCAGCAATCGAGAGAATTGAGTACAGTTCGGAGCCTCGAGCGTGTAAAAAAGCCGGTGCGCGGCGGCTTTCTCTCGGCGCAAGTGTGACGATCGTTCGCGACACAATCGGCAGAGTCGATTCTAATCTGAACGCCCGGCAATAGCGCGGCCCGATCGCGTTGGCTTCTCTCGTGAAGAGGGAATTTCGCGAACGTGGTTGAGAAAAATCGCCATCGTGACCGAGGGAACTCGCGGAGGAATCCACCTACCGGCGACGCTCGTTTTATCAATAATTTTCTAACGTATCTTTTATTCACCAATCAACCGTCAGCCACGTGTCGAAATCTTCGAAGGAATTTTTCAGTCGTTTGCGATAGAAGAGACTTTTTGGAACTTTATTTTTCCTTCTGGAAAAGGTATACGAGAGGAAACTACCATCGTTCACAGTGAGGAAAACGTCAGGTCAGGTTTATGTCCCAAAAAGTCCACTCTAAACTTTAAGTAAAAATAACTCATTGTTATTACTTATCGATAAACTAAAAGATAAACTAAAGACGCGGTTTAATTGACGCACACACATGATCTTTTTACATTTATATTCGTCGTTTTGTCTCTAAATACGATATAAAGATAACATGAAAAATAATAAAGAGATATACGAAAGAAAAATAAATATGATATAACTTGTAAATAATAAATAACTTATAAGAAAGAGAAATGTTGAAGAACATTTTTCTTCGTGAAATATGTGGACAAACATATACACAAATTAATATATTTTATCACGATTCTTCAAAATCATACAGAACACATACAGAGTTAACATACATAAAATATTACTTCAGTCGTGCTTAAAGTCAGAACGACACATATGAATGTAAAAAGAGTATGTATGAATTTCAATACGTTCTTAGTTTACCAACAAGCAACGCGTGACTAATGGAGTTATTTACCACTTAAATTGAAAGAGAACTTTGCGAGACATAAAATGGGCATTTTATTTTTCACTGTGTAACGTGGTCGTTTGGAAAATATCATCGGCTACACTGGGTTGCAAAAGATTTGGTCGTTTTGCGGGAGTTTACACGATGAAGGACATATAAGATTGATAACTCGGTAATGAGCCATCATTGCGCTTGCCGAAGTCTCTCGCGACTCGAACGGGGGTTTTTCTTTTCCCGAATGCGCGTATATATACGCTTTGGAAGAACAGTCGAGATAGATCGATATTGGCGATCACTTCAGATAGTGCTTCCTCCTGGTAGAGGCGCTGATGCAGGGTGCTTCGTGCTTCGCGCTCGGTTCCTTCCACGTGTTCTTCGAGGGTGAATCGATGAATCGCGGTTTCGCAAGAGTCACGGCCTTCTGGCATGCCTCCTGCTCCACGTCACCCTCGAAGAACCGGCACATCTCTCTCACGGGCACGGCTCTGGCACCGCGGTTGAGATCATGAAGAGACCTGGCACGCTGCTTGCCTCTGGGACTGGGCTTGGAAGACGTTCGACCGAGATCCTCCGTGCTCCTGGCTAGACGTCCGCCTAGCCTCGAGAGGGACTCGAACAGGGTAAGTTTCTCCCGCACTGGCACATAGTGGTCCACCCTTTGGCATCGCTCTAGAAGCTTGGCGACGTCCTCTTCGCAAGGCGGCACTGTCGAGGTCGACGGGGAACTTGGTGATTTCGGAGAGACAATTACAGGGTAATCCGACGACAAGGACCTCGGGCAGGATTGTGACGTCTGGCGAGGAACGGGAATCCTGGAGGACAAAAGTGCCAGACGCTCTTTGCGCTCCCGCAACGTCTCCACGTTCACGTTGGCGAGCTGTTGGCTCTGTTGCATCTGTCCCTTGTCGCGAACGATCCTCCTCTCTCGCGCGCGGCTTCTCCTCTCGCAGATGTCTGATCGGAGTATCCCGGTGCCGCCGTTGTTGCCGTTTCTCGGGCTGTTGTTGTTACGCTTGTCGTCTTCGTTCCGATGGTTCTCCTCGAACCTCACCGTGCTGGATTCGCTCGGCTTAACTGGCGGCAGCCGGTCGACGATCGAGTTCTCGTTTCGCGTTATCGTTGTCGGGACGTCGACGGGCGGCGTCGCGGTTGTCTCTTTCTTCGACAAGCGCAGGTGAACGTCGTCATTGTCGTTGGCGGTGTAAGCCGCTCTGTTCGCCCTCGTTCTGCCGGAGGGGCCGAGAATCTTGGGCAGATTGTTGTTGTTCTCCTCCGCCCGCGCTCGCCGCCGTCTCGCGTCCTCCTCGAGCACTCGCCGGCTCCTCGCTTCGTTCTCGCGTCTGCGTGCCTCTTTGTACCTCTGGATCCTCTGTTCCCGTGTCTCCGGTTCTAGCAGAGGAACGCTGGAGTCCACGGAGTCCACGCTGGACCGACACACACCGCCTCCCCAAGGCAGACTGTCGTCGCTACCCTCACTGCTCTCGCTGCAACCCCATATCCTGCCAACCGGTTGCTCTTTGGCGCTGATTATGGCGGGTATACTGCGAAATTCACCGAGGTCTTCGTCGCTAGAATTACTGCTGGACCATCGTAAGCGCAGCTCGCTCTTCGCGCGCCTCCTGCTGTCGTCCAATATCGTCGTAGTGCTGATCGCCGTCTTCTCTACCGGCGAGTCGCTTGGCCAGCAACGCAGCTCACTGCGCGAACGTCTTCTCGTTTCCGTCGGGCTCTCGGGCAAGGGGACTGGACCTCGTGGACAAATGGTCAATATCTCTAGGAAGTTCAAGCATCGTTGAGCGCGGAATGGCGTCTGACGGACTAGTTCGGCCGCAATCGCTCTGACCCAAGACCAGTAGATCGGTTCCGTGTCCGCCTGAACAGATAAAAAATCGACGTGTCCTGTTTAGATAGTAATAATTTTGATTAGTCACATTTTTGGGACATTCCTTTCGGGATATCTCGGATAAGTGAAACGCTTCGCATTCTCGAACAATCCGAAAGATATACTCACTTTTCGTAGATGTTCCATTTCCTGTCGTGCACGGGAAAGAAATCAATTGGTGCAACTGATTTTCTGTTATCTGGAGACCACGAACGACGAAAACTCCGTGAAATCTGAGTTATTGTAGGGAAATCTAAAAATATGTTCTCGATAACGAAACGATATCAGAGATATCGTTCACCGAGTTTTCGTCACCGAGTTTTCGTCTGGTCCCCATTCAGTTCACACAAACTGAGATTTTTCTTTCCGTGCCCTCGTCCCAACATCCTGCAGACCGAGTATGTCGGGCCTGAGGGCTGTGCGTGCCGATACAAGTGACGGATACGAATGGAAATCGAGACGATTAAATATAATTTGATCGATAACCCCGAGTCGCGCGCAGAATTCTCTCGATAGGTAGGTAGATGGTAGTTTGATATATAGGCGGAGTATGTAGGACCACCATCGGCAACGTCGTCGACGGTTGTGTGTATTCGGATTATATACTCTCGCGCCGGGATGCTACATCGAGTAGTCGAACGGGTCTGTCTACCCGCAGGATCGGCCGTGACACATGATTTCGCTGGCGATTCGAAAGTCGCCGGCGGTTCGCTCGAGTGCGAACGACCGGCTGCGACACCGTGGAATTTACTCGTTAACCACCGACGGCGTCGATCATTACCATCTTTGACGGAAACAAATCTCCCTGTCGCCTCGAAAGGTGACCTTCGTGCGCCGCGCACGGTCGCGTTCGATGACACTGGCCGATATCGGGGTGTCTGGAAAAAAGCTCGCCGACAGGTTTGCCCGTTGCTAGCCCGCCCGCCCGCCTCACAGAATAACGTGTGGAAAAGCCGATCGGAAACACCGTGACACAGCCATGTCGTGTTCGCGAGGCTGCGTCAAGGGGTAAAAGCTTTCGCACACGAATCGTGAACATAAAACGTCAACTGAACCTAAAAAACCAATCGGGATATTGCTTTCGGATTTCTCCTGCTAAAAGAAAATCGAAGTAGGATTTGGACTGAGCAACTAGGATTTCAACCAAATAGTTTCTTTTGCGACCAGATTTATTAGCAGTTCTGTCTTTTTTTTGAGTACACATAACTGTAGCAAAATCCTGATTGGTCCTTGAGCTAAATTTTGCGTCTTATGTTTACAGTTACGGCAATTTATGTGCGAAAGACACACAGAAAAATGTAGGCAATAAGACTTAAGAGGATGCTGGATACTGATGTAATGCAGTCTCGTAACTTGCACTGTTTTTCTCTAATTAATTGCATAGAATTGCAAATGCTTTTACAAGATAAAAATGTCAATAACATAGAAAAGTATCGAATATTTTAACTAAAATAAAAAAATTGTAAATAAATTATTCTCTTATGCAGTTAAAAATGGACCAATAATCGATTATTCTTGGACCGTAAAGATAGACACCCACTGTGGTTGGTCAATCTGCTCACTGTTTAAATCTTACTGCTTATGTCCTGTGTGCTCTTGGCTTAACGCTGACGGAGGAAACGTCGCGTCTGAATCGGCACTCTGGCTAACCGTGTGTGTTTTCTAGGCTACAGTGCTCGTCGACCCGCGATCGCAATAATAGCGGTTGCGACGATCGTCAATGGGACTGTCTCTCTCCTTTTCTCTTTCTCTCTCTCTCTCGCATAGTTACCGTAATTGCTTCAATTAACATCATTAAACTCTAGGACTCGGGCTCGTAAAAATGCGTAGCGTTCCGATTACGACGAGTCGAAGGACTCGTATCCGATTGACCGATCGGGTCGGCGAGTCGGAGTGCTGCGCGGCGTCCTTGGAGCGACTAACGCCGAAGAGGCGAAGGAACTGGTAGGCTACGGGAGCGCGACGTGGTGGGACTCCTTGACAATGGCGGGTCATGGGAGAGCGGTGCAACGATCTCCCACGCATTTATCACGGCAAGCGGATCGGCAAGCGGGTGTGTTGACCTTGCCTACTGGCCTTATTAAGATCTCGTGATTCGAAGAACGGGTGTGTTACGTCACACAAGACGCACCTTCGCCACCTGGACATCCGCGCGGCCTTGGCAAGGATGCCCGCTGTTGTACGTCCTATGCTTAAACGACGTTTCGAGCGCGCTTTATCCCACGCTCGCGTGCTCAAGCGTTTCGTCAAGGTTAACGTCGAGCGTGCGCGAGCGCGCGCGATTCATCGAGCCTAGAGAAAGATCGTCACGAAGAGAGCTCTAATTGGATTATTCCGCGGATAGCGCGAGAGAGAAAGAGAAAGAGGGAGGGAGAAAAAAGACGCGGTGAAAATGCTACGCTAGGGCGAAACTCGCAAAACGAGTTTCGAGGACGTCTTCGTGCGATCTGAAAGCGGCGAGTATTACAGGCGACGCGACCAAGAAGACGGCCGCGACGTCGGCGGGTTCTATGCAAAGCGAGGAGAAATCTGCGCGCGGATTTGAATTTTGGGTGAATTTCTAGAGATCATAGCTTATGCGACTCGCAGACAGGTAGGTAGGTTGATTCGCTCGTACTCGAAACGTACTCGCTCGCTCGCTCGCAAAGATTGTATAACGCGTTAGAAATCGAATGGCGACGTTGGCGGGCCGTAATTAGAAGTTGCAGCGTTCAGCGAAACGGGAGCCCGCGGTCCGCCCGGCACGTGAAAGTGTTTACGGCCGAGGAAACGGATCGTGCCGGAGATAAAGGCCATTTACATGCAATTACATTGCGTGGTGCGGCATATTATTTCTTCCCCCGGCCTGCACTCCTCAGCTTCTCGTCTCTCGCGTCTCTTCTCTGCTCTCTCGTGCCTTGTAATCGCCGACCGCGGAACAGCGTCCGTCTCTGGCCCGTGGAACCGTGCCAAATCGCGGACGTTCGCCGACCTGACGCTCTCTCGACGCGAGGACGACTTCGGCTTGCTAAGAACGCCGTTGCGTTGGTCATGGATCGAGAATGAGCGAGGAACCGTTCATCGACGAGTCCACAGACAATCGACATTTCTCGCTACGTCGCGGAATTCTCAGCGGAGAATAGTTGTCGGGCCAACTATTTCCGGCAAATTACGAAAGAGAGAAGGGGACACGAGACGCGACTCTTAATTAGGCTACAGTAATTACCCAGAAGGTGGCGAGCGAACGACCCTGCGAGTTGCTCAGGGTAAATCCTAGAGCGAGCGCGTGCGGCTGGCAGAGGCTCGGCGGTGCTTGACGAAGGTTCAATGCCCTCAGTGGTAGCCTCATTGGGGTGCCCTCGACCCACAGCCAGCCCATCCTGATGGAAACTGTCCGCCTCTCGCCCAGATCCTCCACGTACAGTTCGCCTGAAATCGCAATTGCAAAAAAACCAAACGTGAGGACTGGATTGTCGATTGCAATCGCGTTAATTAGTGCGCAGTAATTTGATCGCGTGGGAAGAACGATTGGTGTCGAGAATGTCGCGAGAGTTCAGTATTGGGCATTGATCAATTAAAATGTTCTTTAGCTAAAATAATTGGCCAATCGATGTAATCAAAATTAAACATATTTAGGTAAATGTAGCAATGCTCGGGCTCTGAACTCTGAACATTCCTATTACTTTAGTCTTTAAATACGCAAACTTTCAATATAGAAAGAGAGAATTTATATACATGTATTCTATGTACAAAGTTTGAATCAATTTATGATCGATTGATGAAATTATCAATCGAGTTTGATTAATAATTAATTTCATCACTCGATGAAATGACATGTGATTTACGTAACAATTGATCAATTCCGACGATCCATTTGTCGATCATTTCAGCGAAAGAGAAAGAAAATTTTACGTCGCTTAATGTCCAACTCTGTGATACATCTCTGTCGATGAACTTTCGTTTGCGTCGCGACACGCATTCGCGTATCGCAAACGCCATAAATGGCGCTCTCGGCGCCTTTTAATATCGCCGTCGCGGAGATTAAGTCCGGGGTCATCTCGATGAATCACGCCGTTCGTTATCAAACGTCCATGACTAACTTAATGGAAGAGACTCTCGTATTGCCTACAATCAATTGTATCGACGTCACACGATCAGTACGAACGCGATCGAGAGTAAGAGCCCGGCGTGTATCTTGGCGTATCTCTCCGTTCACTATCGCGTCTATCAGCCTGATGAATATTTCATTGCGGGTTGCGAGAAATCGCGCGTGGTCGGAGCGCCTCGAAGAGCGGTGCTCGCGAGACCCGACTTCCACAATTTCTCGGTTCACGACTTCGCTCTTTGCACGATTGCCTGTCCCGAATTACCCGATAGCTCTCGACGACGTGGCCGTCCGCGTGACTCCGTCTACACCGCCGAACGCTATCGACGGAATTTCATCGCCGTTCAAGCCGAAAAGTTGTTCCTCAGAGGATACAGTCGTGGGCGTGTTCGTAACTTTTGACTTGAGTTTATGAACGTTGAATTCGTTTTCCAAGAGAGGACTCCTCCGATGGACAAGACGGATAACTTCGCAAACTCACCCCAAATATTATGGACAACTTTTCTCTGCCCACGATTGTACACACACCACGCGAGCGTTCATTACGACGCATAATTTACGACACATAACGTCATCCTCCACCTCCGCGAGGGAGAAAAATATCGCGGAGATGGGGCGAAGTACGACGTAAGGATGACGCGTGCTGAGAGAAAGAGAGAGAAGGAAGACAGATTGACGTCACACCCGATTGGAAGGCGTGGGTGGTGCGTGGTGTATCATCAGCACCCTGTGGTTACCTCTCGCCGCGTCTTCTCGATTTGCCTAAGCGGCTATCGAACGAAAACAACGTCAAACACGCCTACGTTTCTCACCGCGGCACTCGGACGGCTATTTTCGCCGGAGTCCGGGATAGAAATAGATCCTGCCGACCCTTTCCTGCGACGCCCGTCGTCGCTTTCGTCCGATCTTACGGCGCCTCCGAGACAATCCGCCGTCGGGATGGCGACGTACCTCGTCGGTGAACCGAGCGAAAACTTCGATGTTGTATTAAATTTACAGCGAAGAAAAAATAACTCGCCGGTTCGTTGACGTGCGACACTGTCGATCGTAAATTCCTTCCACGAAGAGAATATAATGTTTCTTCATATAAATTCTCTTCAATTTTACTATATCTCCAGTAATTTATTTCAGAAACTATGTTCCTGAAATGTATATTTATTCCTTTCAGTTTTACTCAACATTAATTGTAGAAATATTACAAATGCATCCTTATAGATCTGTGTGATTTTTCTAAGAAATTGCAAAGCTGGCGACTCTGCTTTAACAACTCTAGTGTCAATTAGCCGCCTTTGTTACGCTCTTACCAATTAAGTTCACTTCGTCGGAATTCGACGTGGGTTGCGGACATTCCACGGCGCCCAAATTGTCCCGTGAAGAGTAGGATCATTAGTCTCGCGCTCCATTAGAGATCTTTTCCATACGCGGGACGACGAGTTGGACTATCGAAGGACGTTTACGAACAGCGAGCGACGTATCGTAAGGACACCCAGCTACGTCGGGATGCCTGGGATACCTTCGATCGATAGTAATAAAGCGCATCGACGTTTACGCTCCGCCGCGAGGTCCTTCACCTGCATTCCTGCGACGCGTAGGTGGTTTGCCGACGAGGAGTCGAGCATACAATTCGTGTCGCAACATAGAAACGACCTACGACACGCTTTCGCCCGGAAATATTTCGTCCCGACCAGGACGAAAAAGTGCGACTCGCCCGAGCGATTCTTTCGATTTGATTAACCCTTTGTTCCCTCTCGAGGTGTGTGTGTATGTGTGTGCATTGAGCAACCCCGCCCGTCTCGCTTTCTTAGACCGTCGCCGGCGGCGGATAACAATGGGGAGTCTAATCCCGCGGCAAATTAGTCCAAGGAATTGCCATAGGAACGAGAGAGGATTGTCGGGCTCGTTTGCTGTAATAGCGTCAAATGATGCGCATTAGAGAGTGGATTCTCAAAACGGCAAATGCCGGCGAGAACCGACAGGCAGGGTTACTACTCTCTGGCGCATTCAGCCCGGAGCGTGAGTTTACGCGATATATGCGAAATTAGACGCATCGGGATGCATCACGCGAAGCCGACATGGCGGTCGTGATGTACACGACGGCGGTCTCTAGGAACTCCGAGCTACAGCGAAGTTTCGTATCGTGCGGGTGCATAGAGAGCCGGCAGAAGCGACGTTTACGTTTATTATACAACTCACGTATTTCTCTTTTTCTCTCTCTCTTTCTCAGATACTGTGCAAAAATCTCACGATGCATTATCGGAGTGAAAGCGCGTCGCTTTGTTAGCCCGGGACGAAATTCGCCTTGTCTATCATCGGGGATGCAATCATTGCGTTGGTTGATATTATATAGCGTCCTGCGATAGCTCGGCAATTAGATAGCTCGAGGAATCACTCGCTCGCAGCGATGGAAGTAGTTATTGTAATCTCAGACACCATCATTCTGAGTATTTTTCTCAAAAGTTTCGATTCCATCGAGCTCTAATCTAGTGTTCAAATGACGATCATAAGCTGATTCAAAGGCAGGTTAGCTGCAGCTTGTGGATCTCACGGATATTACAAATGATGTGGCTAGTTCTTCAAGCATTTGACAATTTTCACGCGAGTGAGTCACCGCAAATTCATGATCATCCTATTTGTCCACGTCGACAAAGCTCTCGACATCGTGAGACTTTTCCACGAACGCGTCATGAAGGATACGTGAATCATCGGCTAACAGCGCGAAGTGGTCGCTTCAGTTCTTCTTCCTTTTTCCTGTCTTTTTCCTGCCTCCTTTTTCAAGCAACCAAGCGCATCGATTACGCCAACAATTATATCATTAGAACGTAAACCTTAATTACCGTGACTGTGGACGGATAAGATCGTAAAGTTTCTAATAAAAGTCGCGCGATACTCGACAATCGGGCGAAATTATCAATGTAAGAATATCTGAACGAAATACGTATTATTAATTTAGGCAAAGGATATTCTTATGTTGATTATGACGACCAGAGGAATGGTGAAATATCTGATAAGCCTAATAATCACCTGTCAATTTGAGCAACTGATGTATCACATCATGACATCATAGGAACGATTAAAAAGACTAGTGAAGTTCGTTCAAAAATACCGCCTGATATCGATAATCAAATATTAAAATATTCTGAAATGATTTAACATGGAAAAAACAGTGAGTAATCGTTTGTATCATTGAGACAGGACAATAGCTTACACGATGTTATATCTTTAAATCCCTCACTGACTCTTTAAGTTCGACAGAAAATTTGCGGGATTAATGTAAGACAAAGATATCTCGGGCAGCATCTCGCAACATCTGTTCGCATGATTCTACGAAAATCTGGATTTCCGCTCGAGGAAGCATCTTTCTGGGAAATTTACGAGCCGGGAATTGGCGTGTTTGTGTTCACAAAGTTATCGTCTCCTGGATGAACACCCTCGAAGTCGACGATTTTCCGAAAGAAGACCGTCATGTCTGCTCTCACGGTTCATTAAGCTCCAGAAAGCGGGTGCGTCGCGTCCGTGTGAACGGCCCATAAATAAAACGACCGTTCCTAAGCCCGCATCCTGGCCGCTGTTTGAGCGTTGCTCTCTGCCAGACAAATGTATCACAACGTGTTGCACGGAACGTAACGCGAAAATCCGTACATTAAATCCAAAGCGGCCGTTTTAATTTTCAGACTGAGGCGTAACGGGAGATATCGCTCTTCTGCAGTTACTCACTCATTATCGATACGGGCGTACGAACGCCGGCGATAAGAATTGTTACTTCTCGTGTAGAGGCACGCGGCGAGAGACGCGTACATAAATCTCGAGAGTGAATATGCGCGCCGGTGTAATGTGTAGACGAAACTAGGCTGAAACATGTCGTACTTCTCATGCGTGCAAAGCTCTTATCTCGGCTCGTTTCGAGCAGGAAAAAAAGAAAGTGCACCGAGCGACATAGCGCTATGCAGTTGCAGCCAGAAGAACAATGACGCGTCGTGTCGCTGCAACTCTCTCTTTCCGCAGAAAAGCAACGCGTCTACTAGGCAGACACCGAGGAAATAACGTCGCGTAATTTCCCTCTCAAGGACCAATTCCGGCATTACGAAGAATGGCACATTGTTGTCCTTCTATTCATCACCGTCCCGGAGGTTATAAAAATGAACATGGAAATGCGCGCAACACTCGTTATCACGTATCAATGTCAAATTTTTTTTCAAAAGTATCTCCTACAGATAAGAGCCTGACAAGAGATATTGTTGCAATTATAGTCTTCTGCAATACTTGTACGTGAAGTCGTAATATTATTGATTCCTCAGATTTCTACGACATATGTCTCCTTTCAAAT